ATTTTTCCTCATATGCAAATTTTTTCCCCTCCCTTACTACTCTCTTTACATCATAAACCCCACCTTTTGGGGCTCCTCTTCCCCCCGCCCCCCTTTTTCCTGTAACCAAAAACCCTTCTGCTGAACACACTAACACACTTTTTTAAACCTCCCCATACCTTTTTCGACCCCTTTGGCCTATTTTTTCTGTTTAAGCCCATCTACCTCCAATAGCTGTTTTTTTATCTTACCCTAACGGGCCCCCTTTTTTAAATTAAAACCTTCACCCCCTCTCTTCCCTGATGTTTTCTATTCTCCTTGTACCCCATCTCCCTTTTTTACTTTTCATTGTAGCTAACAACAAAAAGGATCTGATATTTTCTGTGGCCCCTCAAAAAAACATTACTTCCTAAAGTCTACTCAAAAAATTCTTTTATCTCCCAAATACATAATCCAAAAAACTACTGTAATTTCCCCCCTACATCTATCGGGTACTTATTTATCCTCTTTTTTTTAAAAAAATTTTATTACCTAAACAAAACCCCCTTTTCTATACAAACTTCAATCAAAGGGCTCCTATTATCATTTAAAACCCTGCACCCCCCCAAAACTTCCCCTACCAAAAACCCTCTCAAAAAAGTTTTCCCCCTCCTTTAGCATTCTTGTCCCCTCCCACAATCCTCTCTCATTTGGTTTAAAAAGGGCTCCTTACATTCCCTTAACATCTTCCCCCAAAATCCCCTATCTCTCCCTGGGCCATTCCTCCTTCCCCCGGGTGCAAACCCCCTTATTATAACCCATTTTCCCCGCATCCCAACCTTTCCCTTTAACCCCACATAATTTTTAAAATTTAAAACATTCATTTTCCCTCTCTTCCCTTCCATAATTTATCATTAAACATTACTGTTCCCCCTTCCTTTGCCCTAACCTCTAGATACCTAATTTAACCCTTTTATTTCCCCCCCTGAAACCCCCCCAAACCCCCCTTCACTTTGTTTCGTTTGGGGCCAGGACATCCAACTTCTTTTCATTCATAACTCAGCAATCATTTTTTTTCTTGCCATCCGCAACATCCACGCACATTAAGGGATCCCAGTTTTAAAAAAAGTTTTTCTTCTCCTTTTTTTTGTAAATGGCTACAGGGGAAGGGGTTACTCCCCCTTGCTCCCCCGGGATTTTAGGGCGCCTCATACAAAAACGCTGGGGGTTTCGAGGAAAGATTCTTTTTCCCCTTCCCCCCTGGACAATAAAGAAATATTTTTAAAATTAAAAAATTTTAAAGTTAAGAATTAATCTAAAAAACTGCCCAAAATGCCTACCATGCTAGTTTTTTTAGGGGGGCCCCCCTTTAATTTAAAATTTTTAAAAAATGTAAAAAAAACAAATATCCAAATTCTGTAACCAGCCCTTTTAATCCCTTTTAAGAAAAACTTGAAATTTAATTTTAAATTTGGATTTCAGATGGCCCAAAGGGGGTTTTGAGTGGGTAGGGGGTGGGGTTAAAAAAACAAAATTTTTTTCATTGAAATATTTATTTTAACAGTTTTTTAGATAACAATGGGGCAGTTTTTTATTGCATTTGGGATTTCCCGAAAAAGGGTAATTAAAGTTGATAGGGGGGAAAAAAAACAATGTGGCAGATGTTGGGAAGACAGTATATGGAATAGGAAATAAGTTAATAAAGGGTGTAAAAAATTTTTTAGATATTTTAGGCTCAGGGGTTTTTGGGGGTGTAGAAGAAGGGGGAAAATACTTCCTGGAAAGGTGGGTGTTAGACAGGGGTGTGTAATGTCACCAATTTTTTTTTAAATAATTTTTAGATTTGGGGTTGGAAAAAAGTAAATGCTAGGGGGTTTTTTGGGGAGGGGTTTGGGGGTTTAAATTATGGGGAAAACAAAACAAAATGGGAATTTTACAGTTTTCTTTTTGCTGATGATACTGTGATTTTTTGGGAGATTCCCCAAAAAAAATTGCATAGTTTAAATGGACAAGTTTGGGAGTGTGTGTAAAAAAGAAAATTGAAAGTGAACATAAAAAAGATAAGGGGATGAGGGGATCAAAAGATTTAGAAAAAAGAAAAATTGGATATCAAATTTTAGAGGGGTTTTGGAAGAATGAATGGTTTTTAGAAAATTGGGAGTTGACGTGTCAGCAGATGATGATTAAGAAAAGTTTAACCATGAATTGATGAAGGGGAAAAAAGGGGAGTGGTGCATTAGGGGTATGTGGAGGGCAAAAAACATAACTCTGGAGGCAAAGAAGGGAATATAAAGAAAGTATAGTGGTAAACCCAAAACTCTTATAAGGGGGTGAAACTTGGGTTGTGAATGCTGCAGCGAGGAGGCGGTGATGTCCTGTCTAAGGGCAATGTGTGGTGTAAATATTTTGCAGAGAATTCGGAGTGTGGAAATTAGGAGAGGGTGTGGAGTTAATAAAAATATTAGACAGAGGGCTGAAGAGGGGTTGTTGAGGTGGTTTGGTCATTTAGAGAGAATGGATCAAAGTGGAATGACATGGAGGGCATATAAATCTGTAAGGGAAGGAAGGCAGGGTGGGGGTCGTCCTCGAAAAGGTTGGATGGAGGGGGTAAAGGTTTCATGGGCGAGGGGCTTGGACTTCCAGCAAGCATGTGTGAGCGTGCTAGATAGGAGTGAATGGAGACGAATGGTATTTGGGACTTGACGAGCTGTTGGAGCATGAGCAGGGTAATATTTAGTGAAGGGATTCAAGGAAACCGGTTATTTTTATATAGCCAGACTTGAGTACTGGAAATGGGAAGTACAGTGCCTGCATTTTAAAGGAGGGGTGTCTTGTGTATTTTTATACGTGTATGCTTCTAAACTGTTGTGTTCTGGGTGCCTCTGCAGAAACAGTGATTATGTATGAGGGAGGTGAAAGTGTTGAATGATGATGAAAGTATTTTCTTTTTGTAATTGTTTTACAAGATGGTAGGATTGCTGGTGTCCTTTTTTCTGTCTCGTAAACATGCAAGATTTCAGGTACGTCTTGCTACTTCTGCTTACACTTAGGTCACACTACACATGTACAAGCATATATATACACACACCCCTCTGGGTTTTCTGCTATTTTCTTTCTAGTTCTTGTTCTTATTCTTGTTTATTTCCTCTTATCTCCATGGGGAAGTGGAACAGAATTCTTCCTCCGTAAGCCATGCGTGTTGTAAGAGGCGACTAAAATGCCGGGAGCAAGGGGCCAGTAACCCCTTCTCCCGTATAAATTACTAAATTTAAAAGAGAAACTTTCGTTTTTCTTTTTGGGCCACCCTGCCTTGGTGGGATATGGCCAGTGTGTTGAAAGAAAGAAATGCATATACAGTGGACCCCCGGTTAACGATATTTTTTCACTCCAGAAGTATGTTCAGGTGCCAGTACTGACCGAATTTGTTCCCATAAGAAATATTGTGAAGTAGATTAGTCCATTTCAGACCCCCAAACATACACGTACAAATGCACTTACATAAATACACTTACATAATTGGTCACATTTGGAGGTAATCGTTATGCGGGGGTCCACTGTAAATGCGAGATAACAAGTGTACACTAACATATATTATGTTAGCAATAAAACTGGGCATTAAAAAACAAAAAAAAAGTATAATACACACACAGTACACCCATTATTTACCTTAAAATATTTGTAGTCTTAATGTAGGATGAGAGGTGAGTTTTATTTGTAGGAAGTCAGGTTTGGGAAGTATGGTAGCCAGCCAAGGCAGCCCTCCCCACCCCACCAGTGCATAATGTAAACAAACCAGGCAAACATGTCTGATGTTCGTTCATACACAAATAACCCGCACATAAAAGACTCTTCCTGCCTATATATAGCCGTCCTGCTCCTCCTCTGTTAGTGTGACTTTGTCAATGGTCCAAGTCGGACCGAAACGTCGTCGTGAGCTTCTGTCTTTTATGTGCGGGTTATTTGTGTATCGTTCCAGTCACGGTATTGTGCCTTTTTGTTATTTATGTTCGTTCATGTACATATGTATTATACCATAATACAAATACTTTACATTGTGTACAAGTTGTCTACATGTTGATACAGTAGAATAAATGAAGACCAGCACTTCTATTCTCATGTAATTTTTAGAAGGAATGATGCTCTGACAAATTATTACAGTATTATTATTATTACAGATTATTGTTATTACAAGTTGTTGTTTATTATAATTATAATAAAGAAGCACTAAACCCACAAGGGTCATGAATAGCTATAGATAGAGTGAAGGCATACGAAAGGAATAAATTTCTAATTAAGTTACTAGTGTTTGACTAGAGAAAACGAAATTCTTCGACTCTTCTATCAAACGCTTGGTAAACACGTCTTATATTTATGTTAATTTTTATACTGTGGGTGTATGTATCATGTTTATATGTTATGTAGTGTGCTTATTATATAATTTTGAAAAAATATCATAGTTGGACATTTGTCTATATTAACGTAATATACGATATTTAATGCGCCCAAGAGATTATTATGATGGCGTAGAGAGACGTACACCATATTTGAAAGACCGCTTGCCATATAGCAAAGTAATAAACATTAGTACAGTACTTCTAATTAGTGCACTACGAAGGATCCAATCTTCAGATTGTTCTATCCCTCTTATGCTTTACATCAAGCATCAACACTCATCACATCTTTATTAGGCACAAAACGGTTCTTTTTCTGGGTCCCCCTAGCATTTTTAGTATTCTGGGCAATCAACCTCCAGATTTCCTTGCATGTTTAGTAGTATGAAACCTTGTGTATTTCTTGTTCCTCACCTATTTCTTGGCTTGCTTGTGCATAAGCTGTCCTTATTCCTGTTGTCATTATGCACTACTAAAAACAAGTACAAAAACAAAATGCTATTTATTTTACCTTTAATAAAATTGAAGTGAAACTTACAAACCCCAGGTAGTGCCTTCTATCATTTTTTTCCCCTCTAATGAATGTTCTAGTGAGTAGAGATGGCACTGATATTCATTTTAGTGAGTTGACCTTGTACTTGTCTTTTCCAGGATGTACATCATATTTACTGACAAGCCAGCATCAGAGATTGGATATAAAAGTACCACCTTTCATGAAATACTTGGTTTAAAATAAGAGCAGAATACAACACCGTTTGTTTCATTCATTACTGAAAAGGCAGTGAATATAACCATCACTTTTGTATGTCATATTATTAACCTTAAGTTAGCTTTTAGTTTAAGCGATGTTTATACAGTGGACCCCCCAGTTATCAGCTGCTTCTGTTATCAGCCAACTCAGTAATTGGCCAGTTTTTTGGCACCCGGTTATTGGCCGTTTGGGATGCGTCCGTCTGCCAGCTGGGGCCGCTTACATACCAGTTTGGCTGTGTCTTTCGGTGTGTGAGGAAGCTTCTGCTCATACATCCAAATATTAAGCTTGTTTTCCATTGTTTTTTGTGGGCTTTTTGCAGTGCAACTGCGAAATAAGTAACCATGGCTCCAAAGAAAGTTCCAAGTAAAGTTCCTGTGGTAAAGAAAGTGAGAAACAACATGAAATTTGAGCATGAAGTGTAGCAGGCATGCAGGGAGTGTAGCAGACATGCAGGAAGTGTAGCAGACATGCAGTATGTGTAGCAGGCATGCAGGAAGTGTAGCAGGCATTCCAGAAGCCAGCATTAGTCTTCAATAAAGTTATGTAATACTGATTTAATTGTTAAAAAAATATTTTTGGGTGACTATTTTTATCTAGAATGGATTAATTGTAATTACATTAATTCTTGTGGGAAATATTATTTTGGTTTTAGGCTGAGCTTCTGGAACGGATTACGGCTGATTACTGAGGGTCCACAGTATATACACTGTAGACATTGAATGCATGGAGGGCATCTGATTATTGAAAATTTATAAAAGTAAGGGGGTCTGGATTTTTTTAAGCATTACTATAGACTAGAAAAAAAAATTCAGAATATACTTTATTAGAGTGCACATAATTTCTTGTAGTTAAACACTACCTAAGTTTAGTTAGTGGAATTATTTTATATAATAGTTAAAACATTAAAAAAAAAAAAAAAACTCACAAGAAGCTTATTTTGAAAACTATTCCAAACTGTTCAACTTGAAAATGCAATGCCAGTGAACACTTAAAAATTAATACAGTAACATTATTGGTAGTTATTTAACTCTTTCAGGGTTGATGCCGTACTAGTACGGTTTGCACGCCAGGGTTGGTGCTGTACTAGTACGCATAAATTCTAGCGCCTTCAAATCTAGCGAGAAAGCTGGTAGGCCTACATATGAAAGAATGGGTCTATGTGGTCAGTGTGCACAGTATAAAAAAATCCTGCAGCACACAGTGCATAATGAGAAAAAAAACTCAGTGTTTTTGGTTTAAAACAGCGACTTTGCAGTGTATTTTCGTATGCTATTTATGGTATTCTAGTTTTCCTGGTCTCATTTTATAGAATGGAAGACATATTATGGAAATTGAGATGATTTTGATTGGTTTCACAAAGAAAAGTACCTTAAAATTGAGCTCAAAGTGGTAGAAATGTTCGATTTTTGCCAAAGTTCAAAGGTAAACAAATCATGCCATGCGTCCAATACACGTCAACTGGTGAGTCTGATATTGTTTCACAAGTGCACTGATATTCTTTATACCATTTCTACACTAATGCAGTAATCTGCATAAGAAATCTTCTATTTTTTGTGAGAATAAAAATTAGAAGTGGAAACCAAAAGAAATGTAACAGAGGCCTGGGGATGTGAGTAATGAACAGAGGAAATGTTATTTTAGTGCCAGGATGTCTTGTCTTGTTTATTCTGGACCCTATTTGGAAATTGGCATCTTTTGAAATTTGTGTGAAATTGGCAAAATTGCCAATTTCTGACCACTTTATTAGTTGAAATCGGTAAATGGGTAGTTTCTTGTACTCATTCGATAGAAAAAATGGAGTTCTAGCAAAATAGGTATGATTTTTGTCGACTGGTACATTGGAATTGGCCAAAAATAGGGTTCAAAGTGGGCGAAATCACTGATGCATAAACATCATCGAGACCACTAAATTCACGAGAGCATAATTCCATAAGTTTTCCATCAAATTTCATACTTTTGGTGTCATTATGATTGGGAAAAGATTCTCTGTCATTTCATAAGACAAAATAATTTTTTTTTTTCCGAAAAATTTCCAACCCTGAGAACAAGTTTAGGAGAGGGCCTGCCGACCCTGAAAGGGTTAATAGTCACATGTATTTTAGTATAGTGTAACCTTTAGTATCAGACTTTAAACTGAGGCTTCATCAATTCAGAAAATTTCCTCAATCCCAGTGCCCTCTGATATACAATGTTATATCGGTTATTGGTTCCAAGGATCATCACCCATGTGGCTGTCTTATTACCAGGCCTAAATTTGAAAGGAAATAGTTATACCCCTCCCTACATCATTACAGCCTCTCATCACTTAGCAACGTACTTGTTCACCAACGACTCGGACTTATGATGGGTGCTCTAATCAGTATGAATACCTAAATTATGTACGTATATTAGAGCTCAGTTCCTCAATTCTGTTTATTATAATAAACAGTACACTGCTGTATAAGCATAAATGTTATAAATGGTGCAAAGGTAACATTAAAACAATATCAAAGATGGTTAACACAAACCCACTACCATTATAGTATGCTCCTTACTTAGCAACGAATTCATTTACTGACACATGGTCTTAATAATGGAACTCCGTCGTTAAGTGAGGAGAGGCTGTACAGTGGTCCCTCGTTTATCGTAATTAATCCGTTCCTGGAGGCGTTACTATTATCGAAATCTACGATTTTCAAATCAATTTTCCCCATAAGAAATAATGTAAATACAGTTAATCCGTTCCTGACACCCAGAAGTATTAAAACGAAAAAAATTTTTTTACATGAAATATAGATGTAGTACATAAACAATACAATGGGACATGATGACTGAAACATTAACAGCATAACACTTGCCTTTATTGGCAACTCTTCTTAGTGTATAGAAGACTGGATGAGGAAAGAGATTGGATTATTTACAGTTTGGAAGGGGAATCCCCTTCCATCAACACCTCAGGTACCAATTGCTTTTCTGGGGTTACTTCTCTTCTCTGTTTCTTATTGCCACTAGGACCAGCTTGAGAGTGACTGGAGTCCTGTCTCCCAAAATAACTGTCCAGAGAGCTCTGTTTCTGGCATCTCTTTAACACTTCCCTAAAATGGGCCAAGACTTTGTCACTGTACATGTTGCCAACATGGCTTGCAACAGCCTTGTCAGGGTGTTGTTTCTCCATAAATCTTTCCATCTTGCCCCACATTTAAAAAATCTCCTTAATTTCTGAAGAAGGCACCTTCTTCCATCTCTCTTCCTCCTCCTCTGCAGCAAGATTCTGAGCTGCAATCTGTTGCTCTTCCTGCTGAAGCTCTTGCAGCTCCTCAGTGGTGAGCTCTTCGTTGTGGTCTTCCACCAACTCTTCCCTTCCACATCCTCCAAACTCACATCCAACCCCATAGAACTCCCCAGTGCCACAATAGATTTAACAACAGACATAGGCTCATCAGGGTCAGCCTCAAACCCTTCAAAATCCCTCTTGTCAACACAATCTGGCCACAATTTTCTCCAAGCAGAGTTCAAAGTCCTGGTAGTCACTCCCTCCCAAGCCGTACGTATAAGGGTTATGCAGTGGAGGATGCTGAAGTGTTCTCTCCAAAAATCTCTTAGGGTCAAGTGAGTGTCTGAGGTCGCATTCAAGCAACTTTGAAACATTGCTTTGGTGTAGAGTTTTTTAAAGTTTGCAATGACCTGCTGGTCCATGGGCTGGAGGAGAGGAGTGGTATTCGGGGGGCAAGAACTTTACTGTGATGAACCCAAACTCCTCGAAAATTACGTCATCCAAGTTTGGAGGATGAGCAGGTGCATTGTCCATTACTAGGAGGCACTTGAGATCCAATTTCTTTTCCAGGAGGTAATTCTTCACACTAGGGCCAAACACTTCATTGAACCACTCGACGAAAATGTCCCTCGTGACCCATGCCTTACTATTAGATTTCCAAAACACACAGAATTTACTCTTCATAACATTGTTTTTCCTGAACACTCTGGGATTTTCAGAATGGTACACTAGTAGTGGCTTCACTTTGAAATCCCCACTAGCATTAGCACAGAACATGAGCGTCAGCCTGTCTTTCATAGGCTTATGTCCTCCTGTGTAATGTAGGTCCTCTTTGGCATTTTCTTCCAAATTGAACACTTGTTCAGGTTTCAGTCCTTCAGCCTCTATGTACTCCTTGAATTCATGCACATATTTTTCAGTTGCTTTGTGGTCCAAACTGGCAGCCTTACCACACTGTGTATGCCACTACGGTTCTTAAATCTCTCAAACCAACCTTTGCTGGCCTTAAATTCACTCACATCACTAGTTGCAGGCAATTTCTTTACCAGATCATCGTGCAACTGCCTAGCCTTTTCACAAATAATCAAAGTCATAAGACTATCTCCAGCTAATTGTTTCTTGTTTATCCACACCAATAATAACTTCTCAACCTCTTAAAGTACTGGTGATCTCATTTTTGTCAGCATATTTACCCCCTTTGCAACAACAACATCCTTGATTTCCTTTTTCTTGGCCACAATGAAACATATGGTTGTATAGGGTTTGTTAAACATCCTGGCCAGTTCAGCCACACTTACACCACTTTCATATTGTTCAATGATGTTTTTCTTAAATTCAGTCGTATTTCTCACCTTCTTTACCAAAGGCTTGGCCCTAGGAGCTTTCTTTGGAGCCATGGTAGCTTATTTAGTACTTGCAAGCACTAAAATGAATGGAATATTATGAAATATTTTGTAGGAGCAGTGAGGGGACCTTCGCTCACTGGTAAACAATGCCACACTGGCTGGGTAGGGAGGCCGCCCTGGCTCACAGCGTACGTACACGTCCTGGACGAACTACTATTCGCGAGTCAATCTATGATTAGCGAGCCCATGTTTTTACGAAAATATCGCTATGATTTCCAAAATTTACGACTCTCGAGCCCTACGATTATCGAGGGACCACTGTAATTGGTTCCAAGAGCCGTGACTTAACCTAGTTTTTGGCATAAACCAGACATAATGCCTTAAATATGCCTGAAAATGAAGACAAACACTGTAAAACTAATATAAATAATTCACAAAAGAATATAACTATCATTAATCCTTAAAGAACACTAAAAACACATTTTAGTCATTTTCTTTCTTAAACTGTCCAAATGTAGATCTACGTTTATGTGGGTAGCACTCTGACCTTGATTTTCTCCATTTGAAAGCATGTAAAAAAAAAAAAAGTAGATCTACATTCGGAGCACTACATGAGTGAATGTAGATCTATGTTTGGACAGTTTAAGGATTAAAGAATAATGAGTACAATTAAAAAAATTATTTACCTTGTGATTTGCCCTTAACTATTTGAGGGTCCAGAGGCCAAATCTCAGTGACAGCCAAGTCCAAAAATTTTCAAAAAATGTACCAATTTTGATGGAAAATTGACGAAATTATGCTCTCGCGAATTTTGCTTTAACCCTTTCAGGGTCCAAGGCCCAAATCTGGAGTCACACACCAGTGTCCAAGAATTTTCAAAAAAAAAATTTATT